CCCCAGCTCCCTCAGCCTCTCCTCACAGCACTTGTGCTCCAGTCCCTTCCCCAGCCTCGTTGCTCTCCTCTGGACCTGCTCCAGCCCCTCAATGTCCTTCCTGAGCTGAGGGCCCAGAACTGGACACAGCACTCCAGGGGTGGCCTCACCAGTGCTGAGTCCAGGGCAAGAATCACTTCCCTGGACCTGTTGGCCACACTGTTCCTGAGCCAGGCCAGGATCCATTGGCCTTCTTGGCCACCTGGGCACACTCTGGCTCCTGTTCAGCTCCCTGTCCATCCCCACTCCCAGCTCCCTTCCTGCCTGGCTGCTCTCCAGCCCCTCTGTCCCCAGCCTGTGGTTGCTGCATGGGAGAGACATGAGGTCTCAGGGGAGAGAGAGAGACCTCCTCACTCTCTGCAACTCCCTGACAGGAGGGGGGAGCCGGGGGGGGGTTGGTCTCTTTTCCCAGGCAACCATCAGCAAGACAAGAGGGCTCGGTCTGAAGCTGTGCCAGGGGAGGTTTAGGTTGGATATTGGGAAGAATTTCTTTGCAGAGAGGGTGCTCAGCCATTGGAATGGGCTGCCCAGGGAAGGGGGGGATTCTCCATCCCTGGAGGTTTTTAAGATGAGACTGGATGTGGCATCAGTGCCATGGGCTGGGAACCACAGCGGGGTTGGATCAAGGGTTGGACTGGATGATCTCAGAGGTCCCTTCCAACCCAGCTGATTCCATGATTCTCTGATTCTCCATCAACTCCCCATCCAAGGAGATGAGGCTCCCTATGTAATTAAGCTACTGGACTGATTGGAGCTCTGATTACCCCATGGTGCTGTGGGGATGATGGAACACTTCCCGACGTGTCTTAAAATCCCTTCTCTCCGTGCTCTAACCCCCCTCCCCGCCGTGTCTCCCCTCAGGGCACGTTCTCTACGCCGACATCAAGATGGAGAACGGGAAGTCCAAGGGCTGTGGGGTGGTGAGGTTTGAGTCCCCGGAGGTGGCGGAACGCGCCTGCCGGATGATGAACGGGATCCAGCTCCGGGGCCGCGAGATCGACGTGCGGATCGACCGCAACGCCTGAGCCTCCTCCTCCTCCTCCTCCCCCTCCTCCTCTCCCTCCTTTTTATCTCTTTAACACAAAACCAGGGCTTGTTATTTTTATTTCCCGATTTTTATTTTGGGTTTTTTTTTTTCTCTCTCTCTCTCTCTTTTCTCCTCGTTAACCGTATGAGTTTTGACTGGATGTTAAAGGTGTTCAGAAAAAAAAAACAACAACAACAAAAAAAACCACCCAGTTGCTTTCTGGAGTAAAATTTTAAGTCCTTTTTTTAAACGGGTGAAATGAGCATTTTACCGGGTTTTTTGCATCGGAATCTGCAACGTGGCACAATCTTTTTTTGTAGTTGTGGCATCTCGTTGACATGACAGATGTAAACAGTCTGAATTTGATAATAAAGCAAGCGAAATATTGCAGGCACGGCGTCCTTTACTGGTGGTGAAAATCCCCTTCAGCTCAGCCCTGGGTAAGCTTAGCCCTGGATAAACTCAGCTCAGTGAACTCAGCTGAGCCCTGGATAAACTCAGCTCTGAGTCATCTCAGCCCTTGGTAAACTCGGCCCAGTCAGCTCAGCTCTCAGTGAACTCAGCCCTGGGTAAACTCGGCTCTCAGTGAACTCAGCCCAGTCCCTCTGGGTGTCCCTCTGTCCCCTGGGGGTGTTTCTGGATGTCTCCGGGTGTCCCTCTGTCCCCCCCACGGGTGTCTCTGGCTGTCCCTCTGTCCCCTGGGGGTGTTTCTGGATGTCTCTGGGTGTCCCTCTGTCCCCCCCGGGTGTGTCTCTGGCTGTCCCTCTGTCCCCCTGGGGTGTCTCCGAGTGTCCCTCTGTCCCCCGGCTGTGCCTCTGAATGTCTCTGGGTGTCCCTCTGTCCCTTGGGGGTGTGTCTGGGGGGTCCCTCTGTCCCTCAGGGATGTCTCTGGGTGTCTCTGGGTGTCCCTCTGTCCCTCAGGGATGTCTCTGGGTGTCCCTCTGCCCCTCGGAGGTGTCTGTTTGTCCCTCTGTCTCCCGGGTGTGTCTGGATGTCCCTCTATCCCCCAGGGGTGTCCGGGTGTCCCTCTGTCCCTCAGGGCTGTCTCCGGGTGTCCCTCTGCCCCTCGGGGGTGTCCGGGTGTCCCTCTGTCCCCTGGGTGTGTCTGTTTGTCCCTCTGTCCCCTGGGGGTGTCTCTGGATGTCCCTCTGTCCCCTGGGGATGTCTGGGTGTCCCTCTGTCCCTGGGGGGTGTCTGTTTGTCTGTCTGTCCCCCCAAAGAGCGAACCCTCCGGTCCCTTCCCCGTCCCTTCCCCGTCCCTTTCCCTTCCCGCCCCCGTGGCCGTGCCCGTCGCGCGGCAGTGACGTCACCGCGCGGCGCCGCGCGAAGGTCACGGGCGGCGCGGGGCGATGGCGGCGGCCGGAGGGTGCGGGGTGAGCGGGGAGGGACCGGGGGGGAACCGGGGAGGGAAACGGGGCTCAACCGGGGCGGCGGGACAACGCCGGGGGCAGCGCGGGGCCGCCCGGGCCGGGGGCACAGCGCGGGGCTCACCCTGCCCTCACCCCCCGCTGGGCCCGGCCCCGGCCGTGTCACCCCCGGGGGACCCGCGGCCGCTGTTCCCGGTGCCCCGGAACCCGCCCGGGACAGCCCGGAGCGACCCCGCAGGGGAACTGCCCCTGCCCGGGGCGGGGGGTGGGATTGGATGCTCCGGGAAGCCCCTCCATCCCAAATCCCTGCCCTGCAGGGGTGCGACTGGACGGGCCTTAAAGCCCCTCCATCCAAACTGTCCCTGCTTTGGGGTGGGATTGGATGGGTTTTAAAGCCCCTCCATCCCAAATTCCTGTCCTGCAGGGGTGGAATTGGATGGGTTTTAAAACCCCTTCATCCCAAACTGTCCCTGCTTTGGGATGGGATTGGATGGGTTTTAAAGCCCCTTCATCCCAAACTGTCCCTGCTTTGGGATGGGATTGGATGGTCCTTAAAGCCTTCCCATCCCAAATTCCTGTCCTGCAGGGGTGGAATTGGATGGGTTTTAAAGCCCCTCATCCCAAATCCCTGCCCATGGGGTGGGATTGTATGGATTTTAAACCCCCTCCATCCCAAATCTCACCCAAGGGGTAGGATTGGGTGGGTTTTAAAGCTCCTCCATCCCAAATTCCTGCCCATTGGATGGGTTTTAAAGCCCCTTCATCCCAAGCTGCCCCTGGGACTGATGGTTCTTAGAGCCCCTCCATCCCAAATCCCTGCCCATGGAGTGGGATTGGATGGGTTTTAAAGCCCCTCATCCCAAATCTCACCCAGGGGGTAGGATTGGGTGGGTTTTAAAGCTCCTCCATCCCAAATTCCTGCTCATTGGATGGGTTTTAAAGCCCCTTCATCCCAAACTGCCCCTGGCACTGGATGGGATTGGATGGGTTTTAAAGCCCCTCCATCCCAAATCCCTGCCCATGGAATGGGATTGGATGGGTTTTAAAGCCCCTCATCCCAAATCCCTGCCCATGGAATGGGGCTTGGATGGGTTTTTAAACCCCCTCCATCCCAAACTGCCCCTGGCACTGGGTGGTTTTCTGGGATCCATCAGATCTTTCCCGCTCTTATTTGAGTCCAGAGGGTTCCTTCCTACCCGAATCCAACCGGGAAATTCCCACTTTTCCCTCCAAAGTCGTGTTTGGGAAGAATTCTCCTGGAAAAAAAAAAAAACCACCTCGATTTGTTTCTCGTCCCCGTCGCGTTTCTGCTCATCCCTC